AGTAAGATTTCATTGAGCTATTTTGTTCAAGTATATTTTCCTGAGAGCAGTACTCTAGTGTTACTTACAGTAAAACAATTTGCTTGCAGCAAATAAGGGGTTTTGCAAAGCAGAACTTGACTTTGATAGTTTTGAACTAAGTTTAACATGCTTAGTGCTTATGTTCATGAAAATTTATGAATCAAAATTAAAAATTACTTATATTGAGTAAGAAATGCCAGTAGTATGATCTAGGAAACCATTTTCATACTGCTTTTTAACTATCTCTATGAAATCACAAATTGAGAACCCGCTTCACAAAAAGCCTGTATAAACTTGCCTGTTACGTGGCTTGCACATTTCAGACTCTAGGAAACAAATTTATTGAAACACATACTGTAATGATGTGTTAACTCTGCTTTATATGCAGGTTACACATGAGAATTAAATTCTGTTTAGAGGTCAAATCACCTGGTGTATAAAATGCAGTTATGGAGAGATCTATGAAATTTGGTAGTTCTCAAGTACTATATGTCTTTTTTGATTAGGAAAAAAATAAGTTCTTAATATAGAGAATCAAATTGCTACCTTTATTGGAGGAGTGAAATTGCAAAGAGTACAGATTAAAAATGTTAGTATCTCTAGTAAGATACAAGCTTAAAATAATAGATTACACTCTGCACGTGTACCCAAACACATTTATAAGTCTGACAGTGTCCATGCCAGATCAAGAGGCTCCAGGGAATATTTAGTAGTAAGTGAGCTTGACCTGCCCAAGGCTAGTGCTGTTTCACACTCAGGTATCTACAGTTTGCTTCACAGTTTTATATAAGCACCTGTATGTTTGGAAAGAAACGGTGTCTGTAGCCTCTCTTTATCTGGGGGACTCTGGAACCCTCAGTATTCTGTTCAAGGATTCCCCCTCTGCTGTCCTCAGACTCAAGAGGTGTTCAAGTGCATGTATTTATTTGAACTGCCATGAAAGGGGATACACTACACAGAGTAACTAGAAGTATTTGGGTTATAAGTAGAATTGATAACCTAAGATGGGGTTCTCCAGCCAGCAATTCTTGAAATAATCCCCTTGAGGGTAGTCGAAAGCAAGTGGGAGCACATGATAATAATCTCCATTTCTGTTGCACACACTTGAGGAAAGAAAACTACAGTATTGATCAAGCCAAGGACATGGAGAGACTGGATGCAGAGTTCCAGATGAGCATCCCCAGGTCCCTGGGGTTTTTTTTGTTGTTGTTGTCTTTCTCTTTACAGTGTTGTCAGCATCTTTAATCTGATTAAAACATATATGGAAAAATATTTCTTGCAAGCTACAGTCCCTTTGGCTCAACCACCCATGCTACAGCCCCTTTGGGAACACAAAAATGAATACAACCTTCCCAAATAGATCCGTCTCAGTGGAGAGAGGCGAACTGCATAAACACTGGTTTCTCAAGAACACTCTCCCAAAAACCTAGAATACAAATTAAATTAATGTCAGCATTAGGCAACGACAGAAGAACTAGCCAGAAAATAGTTTTGGGGAAGAGCAGTCAGAGAGAAACCAGGTGCAAGAAGGAGGCCTGGGCACAGCGCTGTGGGTGAGCTGGCAGGGCAGAGCCTCCTCTCACACTGCGGGCTACCAGGCAGTGTAGGAACACACCGGCGGAGGGCAGCAGGCAGCCAGGAGCAGCTGCTCACGCGTCAGGATTTCTGAAAACGCTCATGACCTCACAGGCAATGTAAGAAGAGGGGTAGGTACAGCTGGCAGCGTGCACCGAATT